TGAAATTTATAATACAGTACTGTAGTAATTATGTCTTTTACATTGATGCTAGGTTAGAGCAAATAACATGGAATCAAAATTAGATTAATTTTTGTAGAAAAGTGTAGAATAAAGAAAAAGAAAATAGCTTATATCTTAATCAATATAAAGCATACTATTTACATTATTCTAATTATTAATTTAATTAAAATTTTAATTACCACGATTTTTCAATAATTTAAAACTGTTGCAATAATGCAAGTTACAATGCATTGAGGAATGATGTTGGTTTAGATGATCATTTTAAAACTAATTTATTTAATTTTATGGTGAAGAATCCTATTTTTCAAGTTCCGTAATTATTCTTCAGTTGTAGATTATATAAACTTGTTTATTTCAGATGAGATAAAACTTTGGGTGAACGTTATTAGAGGAGGCTCGAGAAGTAAGTTTTCTTTTCAAAGACTGATGATATCGAAGATAATTTCAAAATGATTTAGGTAAAGTTCTTCAGGTGAAGCAGCTGGTGGTTTGCAGTTATTGACTAAGATGGAGTAACTGGTTTCGAAGTTATGGTTTAGATGGATTTACTGATGATTTGCTAACTATTGATTAAGAGGAGTTCACTGGTGCTGGGTTTTCTGTAGAAGAAACTGATATGGTATTATAGATTAGAAATATTGGATGCTAAATTATAATATTATAATTAATAAAATATTTTCATTTTTTAAAAACGTTACAAAACTTGCATTATCTGTTGTTCAATTTAAATGTTTATTATTCAGATATAGTTATAAATGTTAAAATTTAGTAGGTATTTTTTACATCAGATTGATATACGCATTACAAGTAAAACGTTATAAACACATTGTTATCCTGTTAATTGTAAATGATTGTCTAAATGTCTAAACAATCTTCTAAGACAGGGAACAATCTTCTAATCTTCTTAGCCTTTTTTTTTTGTTTCATGGACCTCTTTTCCAGCCAGGTAAATGTCACGGACCCCTTCTCGGAATAATGTTTATATTTTAAATGAATAAAATAAAATTACAAAAACCAGTTATATGGAAATTACTTGTTAAAATAAAAAACCCATATGATATAGTAATATACAGTACAGGGTGTCCATGAAACATTTCCAGATTCTGGGATACTCTATGTAAACCTATGATTTTTTTGTTGTTGACGTGACAATAAAAGCTACATTAGAGAGGTTGCGGCCGACGTTTACATCGCGAAAACGTGTTCAGCGCCGCCTTCCTGTAAGCCTAGAAGTTTGACAATGGCGTTTGGAATGTCGAGCATGATTCCACTGACTTTCCAAACACCATTGTCAAACTTCTAGGCTTACAGGAAGGCGGCGCTGAACACGTTTTCGCGATGTAAACGTCGGCCGCAACCTCTCTAATGTAGCTTTTATTGTCACGTCAACAACAAAAAAATCATAGGTTTACATAGAGTATCCCAGAATCTGGAAATGTTTCATGGACACCCTGTACTGTATATTACTATATCATATGGGTTTTTTATTTTAACAAGTAATTTCCATATAACTGGTTTTTGTAATTTTATTTTATTCATTTAAAATATAAACATTATTCCGAGAAGGGGTCCGTGACATTTACCTGGCTGGAAAAGAGGTCCATGAAACAAAAAAAAAAGGCTAAGAAGATTAGAAGATTGTTCCCTGTCTTAGAAGATTGTTTAGACATTTAGACAATCATTTACAATTAACAGGATAACAATGTGTTTATAACGTTTTACTTGTAATGCGTATATCAATCTGATGTAAAAAATACCTACTAAATTTTAACATTTATAACTATATCTGAATAATAAACATTTAAATTGAACAACAGATAATGCAAGTTTTGTAACGTTTTTAAAAAATGAAAATATTTTATTAATTATAATATTATAATTTAGCATCCAATATTTCTAATCTATAATACCATATCAGTTTCTTCTACAGAAAACCCAGCACCAGTGAACTCCTCTTAATCAATAGTTAGCAAATCATCAGTAAATCCATCTAAACCATAACTTCGAAACCAGTTACTCCATCTTAGTCAATAACTGCAAACCACCAGCTGCTTCACCTGAAGAACTTTACCTAAATCATTTTGAAATTATCTTCGATATCATCAGTCTTTGAAAAGAAAACTTACTTCTCGAGCCTCCTCTAATAACGTTCACCCAAAGTTTTATCTCATCTGAAATAAACAAGTTTATATAATCTACAACTGAAGAATAATTACGGAACTTGAAAAATAGGATTCTTCACCATAAAATTAAATAAATTAGTTTTAAAATGATCATCTAAACCAACATCATTCCTCAATGCATTGTAACTTGCATTATTGCAACAGTTTTAAATTATTGAAAAATCGTGGTAATTAAAATTTTAATTAAATTAATAATTAGAATAATGTAAATAGTATGCTTTATATTGATTAAGATATAAGCTATTTTCTTTTTCTTTATTCTACACTTTTCTACAAAAATTAATCTAATTTTGATTCCATGTTATTTGCTCTAACCTAGCATCAATGTAAAAGACATAATTACTACAGTACTGTATTATAAATTTCAATGTATCTTTTGTTTTTTGTTTTTTTTTCGTAAATTTTAACAAAGGAACTTGTTCGAATATTTAACATATGGAATTGTATTTTCATATATTTCATTTAAAATATAAATTTTGGAGAGAGAATAGAAATTTAGAAATTACGAATATAATTCCTACATTATTACAAGATTATTAAATTAAGCATTTTCGGACATAATATTGTATAATATGTGACGGAAAAATTTTAATAACAGTTAATTTCTTTTTATATAAATCTAAGGTTGATACATTAATTTGAAATTTCTGAAATCGTTAAAAGTATAGTGCTGTATATTAATATAGAAAACTAATGTTGATAATACTTGTTTCCAGAATAAATTTTATTATCATAATAATCAAGTATTTCGTTTTAATAAAGTTTCATTTTCTTCAATAATTAATGTAGAATTTTTTCCTTGTCCAAAAAAATTGCATTTAACTTGGATTGAATTGGATTGAAGGCAACATAACACATGGGAGATCTGCGAGAAGTGCATTTCCGGAGGACTTTCTATGGGAAGCTGTTCATATTTAGGTATTACACGTTTAAAAAAAAACCGAAAAACACGTGTCCAGCCTTACTAACTTGCAAGTAACCCGCGACCAGCTACTAGTGTTCAGTGATTTTATCCACTGGTAGGTAATTAATTTGGCATAATTGAAATCGCGCATTGGCATGACGCTTTTTATTTTATAGATATTTAGTTTTAATGTTAAAAAAATTATTTAATTTCCCCAACGTAAAAAAATCCCAATTCGAATTTAAAAAACAAGAGCATAATCTTGTTCTTTATTATAAAACTACTTGAAAGGCCCGATGCATCGGGGCATACTAAGTAGTTAGCATGCATAGCAATGATAAATAATTAATTACAAATGGTTTACCTAAAGTGTAGAGACGTTCAGCAGAACACTGTTGGAAGTGAACTGCCCATAGCTATCTCCAATTCTCATGAAATAACTTTCAAAATACCAATAAGATTCTACATATTTCCGTTATGATTGCAAAGAAATACCGTAATATCTCGTCTCCAGTTCAAAACATAGTTATGCTTTTTTTGTTTCATTATTATCATTGTCGTGAACTATGACCTACATCACTATATCCAATTATTTTTAAATAACACAGCAAGCAGCATGTATGGAATAGCATAAAAAAGAGTCGACTTTTTTTGATGGTTGAATTACCGCTATGCTTTGCTTGCGCTCGATACGCCGATAGAGACTGGCAATTTTTTCAGTTTTATATAGTAAATAGATAAAAATAACAATAATGAATTCCTATTATAAATAAAAATAATAATACACTGAATTATACTGTAACAATATAATATATATATATATAATAATTAATTAATTAATTGAAAATAGGTAGAAAAAATATATTTCTTTTCATTTTCTAGATGAACATTGTCATGAANGAAATATATTTTTTCTACCTATTTTCAATTAATTAATTAATTATTATATATATATATATTATATTGTTACAGTATAATTCAGTGTATTATTATTTTTATTTATAATAGGAATTCATTATTGTTATTTTTATCTATTTACTATATAAAACTGAAAAAATTGCCAGTCTCTATCGGCGTATCGAGCGCAAGCAAAGCATAGCGGTAATTCAACCATCAAAAAAAGTCGACTCTTTTTTATGCTATTCCATACATGCTGCTTGCTGTGTTATTTAAAAATAATTGGATATAGTGATGTAGGTCATAGTTCACGACAATGATAATAATGAAACAAAAAAAGCATAACTATGTTTTGAACTGGAGACGAGATATTACGGTATTTCTTTGCAATCATAACGGAAATATGTAGAATCTTATTGGTATTTTGAAAGTTATTTCATGAGAATTGGAGATAGCTATGGGCAGTTCACTTCCAACAGTGTTCTGCTGAACGTCTCTACACTTTAGGTAAACCATTTGTAATTAATTATTTATCATTGCTATGCATGCTAACTACTTAGTATGCCCCGATGCATCGGGCCTTTCAAGTAGTTTTATAATAAAGAACAAGATTATGCTCTTGTTTTTTAAATTCGAATTGGGATTTTTTTACGTTGGGGAAATTAAATAATTTTTTTAACATTAAAACTAAATATCTATAAAATAAAAAGCGTCATGCCAATGCGCGATTTCAATTATGCCAAATTAATTACCTACCAGTGGATAAAATCACTGAACACTAGTAGCTGGTCGCGGGTTACTTGCAAGTTAGTAAGGCTGGACACGTGTTTTTCGGTTTTTTTTTAAACGTGTAATACCTAAATATGAACAGCTTCCCATAGAAAGTCCTCCGGAAATGCACTTCTCGCAGATCTCCCATGTGTTATGTTGCCTTCAATCCAATTCAATCCAAGTTAAATGCAATTTTTTTGGACAAGGAAAAAATTCTACATTAATTATTGAAGAAAATGAAACTTTATTAAAACGAAATACTTGATTATTATGATAATAAAATTTATTCTGGAAACAAGTATTATCAACATTAGTTTTCTATATTAATATACAGCACTATACTTTTAACGATTTCAGAAATTTCAAATTAATGTATCAACCTTAGATTTATATAAAAAGAAATTAACTGTTATTAAAATTTTTCCGTCACATATTATACAATATTATGTCCGAAAATGCTTAATTTAATAATCTTGTAATAATGTAGGAATTATATTCGTAATTTCTAAATTTCTATTCTCTCTCCAAAATTTATATTTTAAATGAAATATATGAAAATACAATTCCATATGTTAAATATTCGAACAAGTTCCTTTGTTAAAATTTACGAAAAAAAAACAAAAAACAAAAGATACATTGAAATTTATAATACAGTACTGTAGTAATTATGTCTTTTACATTGATGCTAGGTTAGAGCAAATAACATGGAATCAAAATTAGATTAATTTTTGTAGAAAAGTGTAGAATAAAGAAAAAGAAAATAGCTTATATCTTAATCAATATAAAGCATACTATTTACATTATTCTAATTATTAATTTAATTAAAATTTTAATTACCACGATTTTTCAATAATTTAAAACTGTTGCAATAATGCAAGTTACAATGCATTGAGGAATGATGTTGGTTTAGATGATCATTTTAAAACTAATTTATTTAATTTTATGGTGAAGAATCCTATTTTTCAAGTTCCGTAATTATTCTTCAGTTGTAGATTATATAAACTTGTTTATTTCAGATGAGATAAAACTTTGGGTGAACGTTATTAGAGGAGGCTCGAGAAGTAAGTTTTCTTTTCAAAGACTGATGATATCGAAGATAATTTCAAAATGATTTAGGTAAAGTTCTTCAGGTGAAGCAGCTGGTGGTTTGCAGTTATTGACTAAGATGGAGTAACTGGTTTCGAAGTTATGGTTTAGATGGATTTACTGATGATTTGCTAACTATTGATTAAGAGGAGTTCACTGGTGCTGGGTTTTCTGTAGAAGAAACTGATATGGTATTATAGATTAGAAATATTGGATGCTAAATTATAATATTATAATTAATAAAATATTTTCATTTTTTAAAAACGTTACAAAACTTGCATTATCTGTTGTTCAATTTAAATGTTTATTATTCAGATATAGTTATAAATGTTAAAATTTAGTAGGTATTTTTTACATCAGATTGATATACGCATTACAAGTAAAACGTTATAAACACATTGTTATCCTGTTAATTGTAAATGATTGTCTAAATGTCTAAACAATCTTCTAAGACAGGGAACAATCTTCTAATCTTCTTAGCCTTTTTTTTTTGTTTCATGGACCTCTTTTCCAGCCAGGTAAATGTCACGGACCCCTTCTCGGAATAATGTTTATATTTTAAATGAATAAAATAAAATTACAAAAACCAGTTATATGGAAATTACTTGTTAAAATAAAAAACCCATATGATATAGTAATATACAGTACAGGGTGTCCATGAAACATTTCCAGATTCTGGGATACTCTATGTAAACCTATGATTTTTTTGTTGTTGACGTGACAATAAAAGCTACATTAGAGAGGTTGCGGCCGACGTTTACATCGCGAAAACGTGTTCAGCGCCGCCTTCCTGTAAGCCTAGAAGTTTGACAATGGCGTTTGGAATGTCGAGCATGATTCCACTGACTTTCCAAACACCATTGTCAAACTTCTAGGCTTACAGGAAGGCGGCGATGAACGTCCGACGTACAGTACACGTTTTCGCGATGAAAACGTCGGCCGCAACCTCTCTATTGTCTTTTTGTACTTTGTAACAGCTTCAAACACAACTACAAACTCACTTCTAACCAGTAGCCCACCAGTAGCCCACCAGAGGCCCACCAGTAGCCAAGCGGTCTTCGTACCCTGAACACTGGGAGTTCGATAGTGGGTTCGCGCCTCGACCGGACGGGCTAGCCACGTGGAGTTTTCTGGGTTTTCCCCACATCTGTAACACCTAAATAGGGGCCAGTTTCCCTTAAAAAGACCACCCGGATCCCCCTAGGCAGATCGCCAAGTGTTGCGTCGCCATAACTTAACAAACAGACGTTCGGAGTGTATAATGTACAGTACCAATGACCGCCAAAGTTATTCTATGACACCCTGCATAAGCTTTTCTTTTAACACAATAATTAATCACTTCACAGAACACGAAATCAAGATAATAAACTGATTTTTACCCTTCCAAGCCCAAAACTTCGGATTCCCGGTTAAGAACAACTGATCTAAGATTATTTGGCGTGGCGAACGAATTTACACATAATTGTTTTACGTAATACCTCTGACATACAACTAAGTAAAACAATATTATACTGTAAAATATTCTCAATTAAGATAACTGAAGAGGTTCGTCTAAAAATGTATTTAATTTGTGAAAAATGTTCGATTTTCAGTTTTAATCATATAATATGCTTTTTTACAGACGTATCATACAGGAACTTAGGGGACAATAAGACTGAATTTAGACTTTATTGATATTAGTTACAAGAAAATCTATTTCGGGTGTCATATCCCTCCGTTCTTTATCACTTTTGGTATCAGTACAAGAATATTTGAAGAATACAATTTCAATAACAATCATAAGATCCTGTATGGTAAGTCTGTAAAAAAGCGATATTATATGCATGAAACTGAAACTGTAAAAGAAACGAAACAAAAGGATAAAACAAATAATAATAAAGAAAAATATTCGAGTTGACTTGTAAAACACATTATTTATATAAAAGTGATTTAAATTATTGAAAACACAACTACTCGTACATTTTTTATATATTTTAACTACTGTATATAATCCGAATAAAAATACATGTATTATCGTATGCATTAATACAAGTAGCTGCAAAATAAATATAAGTAAATGGTAGGCCTAATATTATTAGAGGGCGATCGCTTTATTTATTAAAATTAAACAAAATTCATCAAAACATGTTTAGATTTATATGTAGGGGAGACAGATACACGTGTTAGAAACACTAGCCAATCATTGTAAATTTTTCTATATATTTTTTTTAAATATTAAAAAAAATATAGGCCTATATTATTTTTTAATATTTAAAAAATATTATAAATTAGAAATATTGGATGCTAAATCATAATATTATAATTAATAAAATATTTTTATTTTTTAAAAACGTTTACAAAACTTGCATTATCTCATTATCAAAATTTGGAGGGGGCCATTTTTTTTGCCGGATCGCCATACTTTTCCGGTTGTTATAACAACTGGAATAGAAAAAATATAGGATGGTCTGCGTCTGATGACGAACTTTCTTGTCATATACCTCTGAAGAAAAACTTGTTCATAGGTATTTACAAATATATATTAAAATAAATATTTAGTTGGCATAAATGACATATTTTCGCCGCCACCAATACTTAGAGTTTTTGCATCCCTTATGCAGTGGTCACATTAAATAAAAAGGATGCTTCTTTTTTATTTAATGTCTGTTTTGTTAGTCATGACAACGTTGGCTAATATTAAAACATTTTTTATTAGCATGTGTAACTATGCATTTAAGTGAAAAGTGTATACATACAAGAATGACAAATTTTAAACTTTTTGCAAATATGTACATTTGAATTTTCTGTAATCTGAGATCTTTATGTCCGAAGGTGGAAAGCCATTGTCTGGTCATTCTGTTCTACGATTGGGCGATTTGCCATTTTTAAAAAGTTAAGTTTTTGAGGAAACTCTCTTTCGACCCTGAAAAAATAGTAGCTTCAAAAATTGAGCAATGTCAGTGCTATATCAGTGTATAATTAAATTTGTTCTCTATAGGCTCATTTCACAACAAATAATTGTAAATCAAAGTGTTCAAACGTGGAACTGTCCCCCTATACTATATACAGTACAAAAACCCCAGAACTTACCTGTTGTAATGCCCTCCTTGGATGTTGTGGTGTCATTTCCGGCTGTTGTGGTGTCATTTCCGGCTGTTGTGGTGTCATTTCCGTGTTGTGGTGTCATTTCCGGCTGTTGTGGTGTTTGTGGTGTCATTTCCGGCTGTTGTGGTGTCATTTCCGGCTGTTGTGGTGTCATTTCCGACTGTTGTGGTGTCATTTCCGGCTGTTGTAGTGCCATTTTCGGCTGTTGTAGTTGTCGTCGTTAATGTAGAATCTGTAGTAGGACCAGGAGTAGTATCAGATGATTTGGATTTATCTGAAAAATTAATTAAATTTAATTGTGTATAAACTTTTAAAAGACATAATGGTAACTTACAGTTTTCCAGTCTTTTATCCAATACGATGGTTGTTATCATCAGTGCAAAAGCCAAACAAAAAAGTATCGATGATACAATAATTAATTTTTGTTCTAAACCTGTCCTTCTTCGCCAAAAGTTTCCCCTGAAATTTTTTAAATAAATACAAAAATTACCAGAAATATCCTTTCTTTTTAAATATGCAAATTCCCGTAAGATAATATTTAGATGAATATATTTTAAACATATATTATCAATTTTGAAACGTACTTCTTAATTACATATATTATGCTTTTATCCACTTTGGACATTGGACACAAACACCAGTAAAGCCCAGGATATCATTTAAAAAGTGGATAAAGATTTTCTTATTTTTTTTCAGTACCAAAGATTTTTTTGAATGTTAGGTCTAATTTTGGATCTAGGACTTGTTATATCGAGGGAAGAGAATCACACAATTTTAAATTAAAATATGTTTAATGTAATTTAATTTTGGATTAAGTTACATTAAAGATACTTTAATATATAAGATCAAATATAACCTATTCTAATTTGCAAAAAAATATTTGTTTTAATAACTTTGCTTAATAACTAATAAAGCAATAACTTTGTTAAGGTAATTACGCCACCTTAAGCTTTTTAAATTTTTTAAAAACTTTTATGACGGTGGTAAAAATGAGTTTTATAAATAAATAAAAAATGTTTGAGCACTTCATCAGAATACATTTATCCAAAAATCGGGAATTTGATGTATTTATAAAGCACCGCAGGTAAATACGCTATACAAAGTTTTTATTTGGAATTAAAAGTTTGATTTTTGAGAAGTACAAACAAGATTATGCTACTGTTAAAAACGTTGAAATAAAACAAGCTAAAGAATTTTCCAAATTTATATCGGTAAACTATTTTTAAAATATTTAATTTTCTTATCACTACAGTTTAAGAAATTAAACATATAACTAAGAGAACAACTTTTACATGAACGAACTTATTTATCACATTCAGGACAAAAGAAAACTTGTTTGTCAGCTGCGGTCAGTCGTACGCAATCAACCACCGTTGAACCAGCTTTGAAGTAAGTTACAAAATAAATGCGTTAGTAATGATAAACGCACGAATGGCGTAATTACCCACATTTGACAATTCACAAATAATCTGTTTTTCTGTTTTTTTCGGAATATTTATCAATAAAAAGTGATATTAACATATACAGTAGACTCTTGATAATTCGGTCACTCTTTGCACAGTAAGATGCCAGATTAGAGATAAAAGACGTCAGTTTAATTTTTTATTAAATTTAATGTTACATGTTTACTGTCTGTAGTACACATGTATTTAAAAACTAAATAAGAGAGAAGTGGGCTATTTGTATACAGTAAAAACAAAACATTTAAAATACAATACAGCACAGCTAAAATGCTGTATCTTCTACTCAGTGTAATCACTTCAAAAAATGTTACGGAAATTTGTTAGGTTTAACGAAGATGCTCGTCGAGGGTACGTAATTGCTTTACCGGCATTACATCGGTTATGCATGTGTCGGTGGTTGCATTTTGTACTGTATGGAAATGGCAACTTCGGCGCAAACAGTATGAGAAATCTTCGTTCGCTCTGCCTCTATAGTATTCATTTCCTCTTCACTTTCATGCACACTTTTCATAAAATTTCGTCATCTTTTTTCTTCATATGTTAATTAAAGCCTGGTTGGTCTACTCCACAATATTCCTCATTCACAGTGATGTCCTCTTCAACTTTTTCTGCTCCTGGAAGCTTGTGGAACGTATCAACGAACACAGCATTCGTTGATACGTTTCGCAAGCTTTCGGAAATGATTCTGAATTGACTAACTCACTATCACTCGATGCAGACTTCAACTCAGTGTCAATCGAAGGCCATGCTTTTTTCAACACTTCACTATTGCATTACTCTCCACAATGTTCCATGCTGTAGTGGTTTGGAAATCATCATAAAGCCGGATGCACACATGCGGCGCGGCAAGGAAAAGCGGTGACGCAAGCGCATCTTCGCCGCGCGGCAGCGCAACCACACAAGCGGCAATCCGCTTACATTTCGGCGCATGCGTTCAGTATTCAAGATGGCGAACGATATCCACGTGTTTATACACTGTCCCTATCCACGTGTTTACAAATTTTGTTTTGTACGGCTCGCTTTATTTAGCTAAAAGATTTTGTCGAAGATTTGAATTAGAGATACTTTTTTGGATCGAGAAAGAACTGGTGTACAAAATAGACTTATTCGTGGATCAAGATCTCTCGATAAAGAATACTATTTCGAGTAAGATTCGGTTGTTTTGTTCTTTGAATTAAATTATATATGATTATTTGTGTAGAATTTGTTTTAAATTTGTTATCCTTTCCTCTTTATTCTGATTTTAATTATCTCGGTTAACCGCCTCGAACTTTCCGCCATTAAAACACCACGTGATTGTATTTTCTCACGTGACTACGAGACAAACTGTTATTGGCTGATAGAAACGCGTCTTGGCGGCGTTGCCGCAAAAGATAGAATTCAACCAACTTTTGCGGCACGAGAAAAGCGGCACAAAATCGACTTCTGCGGCGAGAAAAAGTGACGTCATTCTGCCGCTTTTCCTTGCCGCGCCGCATGTGTGCATCCGGCTTAACGCCTGTTGATCGCTTTTCCACACCTTCTGTCTAATTTCGGTAGAATAGAATATAATTCCTTATCTTTATTTCAGTTTTATAACAATAAGTTTGTTTTATTGGTGATTTTAAGTTTGTTTTGGATTGATTAGATCGACAGTAACCAATGAAAATAATTCTGTTGGTTACTATTACCAATAACAAATTTATCAAAAGAAGTAATTCTGATTCTTCTCTATTTCAAGTAATAGAAGACAATTTCGATAAACCAATCTTAATGCCAGCTAAGTACAGACTGTGCAGTTAACCGCGACCCACATCTCTGTGGGGTTTTATTGATTAATAAAATAAACAAAGCCCCACAATATCTTGAAAATAAAAAAATAAATTGGCAAGAGCTCTTACTCCAGATTTCCGGCAATCGAACTAGAGGTTAAGTGAACCATTAAGAAGTTAGTTAATTTTGAATTATACTAAGATATAAAATTTAAGTAATGGCAAAAGCTTAAAAGCAATAATTTTGATGAATTGTAATATAAATCTCTATTTTAAAATATTTAAGTTTAAAAAACATTAAGACACATTATCACAACGTTAAACTTGTGTGTTCTGTATGAGATTATATTTGAGATTAAAAATATATGAGATTATATTTTAAAACATAATTAATAATATAAAAATAATTAAGGCTTAATTTTGAAAGTAGGGATGGGTTTTATAAAGAAAAATCTCGCAAATGCTAATTACGAGTAAAATTTACATTAAGTTTGACCTCACTAGCAGTCATGGGCGTAGCAAGTAAGGGGCATGGGTGGACACGGCCCCCCGTTACCCTGGTGCCCTCTTCAGAAAATTACAGCCGAAAAAGTGTTGAGCCGATTTGCGAAAAGAAATAAAGAGTTGAAACTAATTTAATTGGGTGTAGTGTACCGCGGCTCGCAATTAACCTCTGAAAACTGGACTTAACTTCAAATAATTGCTCAAATGGAACCGCGATAATTCTCTACGACCTGGCAATGTAAAGTTATAGGAAAGTTGAGAGATTCTGATCCTAAAAAAGAAAAAAAAAGGAAAAAAAAAGGTCAACGGCTTTCTCTGTGCCCAATGTGAAAAGTGTATCTCTATGTACAGTTTAGTCTCTACGGGGTGACGCCACAATAAGATCTCGCATCACCAGAAAATCTTGCTAGGGCCGCAGTGAAAAAAGTTTTCTTTCCAATTCGGCCCGGAGGAAAAAAACTGTTGGCCACCCCTAGTCTATATCTAGATTAAAGACTGTGAACTATATTAAAGAATGGTAAAAAAAATAATTGATTGGTTAATTTTTGTTTAAGGCATTGCTAGAGTTTGATATTAATGTTACGAGAACGTATGATTAAAGGAAGTTTCATATTTTATGTGTGTTAAGTTATTGTCGATTCTTATGGAAATTTCATTTTAATGAACAATAATTTGAAATAATTCAATTTTGTGTCAGGTTGGCCTCTACTAGGCCCCCCATAACTAAACTCTGGCTACGCCCATGCTAGCAGTGGCGTGCCGTGACATTTAATAGTAGGGAAGCTGTGTTCCCACAAAAATCTTAAACAAATACTGGAAATGACAAAAATAAACAGTTTATTTATTTTAATTCCAAAATAGATAATTGACGTGAAACAAAGATATAAGAACTTGTTTTTATTGTTTTTTTATAAACTAACTTTATTTGTTTCGCAAAGTCATTAATTACTTTATCATAAAAATCGCTCGTCGTCGATTCCATCAAAATATTTAAAAGCTCTTTTTCTATCGAAAGCAACGCTAGTGACGACAATCTTTCCTCTGACCGAGTGTTCCTTGCAAATGTATGAATTCGCATCATGGGTGAAAAACTGCGCTCAACAGACGTACTGGTATATGGTACCGTAAAAATGATGATATTAAATCATATAATTCTTTTAGTGCATCTTTGTTCGGATCATCATTAATTATAATATTTTTTATGTCTAAGAGTGACTTGCCAATGTAGTCTGGACACGAATATAAATATTGCAATTCACTACATAATTTAGATAAATGAAAAAATTCTCCATAAAATTTATTTAAAGAATTAAAATTCGCTTCGGAAAATTGTTTTTCGTATTATTTAAAATTATTAACATCTAAAAGTGATAAAAATTCTAAAGATTTTATGTCTGAAAATCTGTCAATGTAATTATAATTAAAAGAAAATTATAATTAAATATAGCTTTGTAAAATAACGTACATAAAAATAACATAAAATATTTTTTACTTTTTAAATCTTAATGCACTTAGTCAAATAGCTCCCTACCAGTGGCTAATGCATAGAATCATTGGAAGCGTTATACGATATTTTAATGTGTAGTTTCCACCAACTAAACCGCCAGAGGTTGATGCTCTGTAAATCGCATGTGCTAATGCCTGTAATCTGGCTGCTTTACACCATTCAAATGTTTTCGCCGTGGAAGCTGTCCCGTATTCGACAATACAGCGCTTCCATTGAGAATATGCATATACGAATTTTGATTTTATGCATTTAAGATTTTGAATATAAGTTTGAATCTTATCATTGTTTTTCACATGTGTATAAATCTGTAATAAAATAAATAATGTGATTATAATAAAATATTAGTTCAGATTATAATAAAAATTAGTTCAGATACGTTAAAATATGAAAATAATCGCACAATATGTATTTATATTTTAGAAAATACAATGGAAGCGGCGCTTCCACAGCTTCCATGAACGGCACGCCATTGAGCCATACAGATTTACAATTAGTAACTGGAACAAGGTTAATGTGTATACTATAGTAACTAATTTTTTTTTGTTTTGCTGTAATAATTTCGTCAATCCTCCAGAGGCCTCAACATGCTGTCCACGGTTGAATTTATTATAAAGAAAACAGACAGAAAAAAGATTGAATCTATTGTACAGTACATACGATCAAACATCGCTTTCTTTAATTTAATATCTTCGTCATTATTTAAACTTTTGAAATGTAACTTTTCATGTATATTTAAAACAAAATAATTTTTATAAAAACACCAACTAAAGACGGACTCAAAAAGAGTCCGAAATGCATTTTGGGTATATTAGTATATATTTAAGATTCAACCATTGTAAACTTTCATTCTATACTAATTTTAAAATTTAGATATAAAATAAACTATATTTGTTTGTAATATCATATTCACTAGTGTGATAAGCCCTAAAATTTAAATAACTGGTTAGGTTATCATAAAAATTTAATGTAACCTAGAGTAAAAAACAATGAATTATTATTCGTTGAATATTTTAGCAAGATTTTGTATCGTTATAACTATTAGGTTATATATAAGATTAAATAATTAAATTTTCTAAGATAAAAGACGTTATTACTTACCCATCGGAAGGATCGAAATAATCTTTACCTTGTGTCACTCGCATCGACATCATTGATGTTTCTAACAAGTAAATATAAAAGTTAACAAATTTTAGCTTATAATACGATTTATGCTCTGAAGCGTTAATTACACATAAATGTTACTCAACAATAGGAGATCATGTACAATTTTTATCTGCCTTATCATATGACGTAAACTAATTTTGTATCTTTAATAAAAAACAAGTTATAAAAATAAATAGAAATGAATACATAACAGAAATTAACTTGCATAACAATATAATTTAATGAATGATAATTAATTATAAATATTTTCAAAGATCACTTAAAAATTTTTTTGGAGTTTAAAATAATCCAAAATTTTAGAAATTAATAATTACATAAAAATTATAAACTTATAATAAAAGCTAGTTTATTTATTAAATTAAGTAAGAAATTACCTCGTAAATAACTAAGAAGTCGCGCTGCTAGCTCGATGCACTCCGATAAGGTATAATTACAACGCCCACAGTTAGATAACTCTCCTCTCTAGCTTATCTCAGCTTCTAAAGTAAAAGCTTTTGTAAAATTATAAATTATTATCTATCACATGGTCTTATCAATTTAATTTCGTGAATAAATATAGAATTTTAGAATGCCGAATCAAAACGAAATGATAGATTATTATTTATATGGTGAATTGTTAAATTATATACTAAAAGTCACATTTTTCAAAAAATTATTAGGATTATTCATCTCAAATACATATAGTAATATACCTTTCTTTTACTGATCAAACTAAGCGATAAGTTTAGTAATGCAGTTTGGATTATGAGATAAGGACTTTTTCAAATAGAAATCTGAATTTTCGTACATTACTTATTACAATACAGTGTGATAAACAAAATCAAAGCTTTAAATTATTTTATAACTTTATCTCGTTATAATTAATAGTCTTTGTCTCATAGGCCTATTTTATCCCCCATTTTTTTTTTTTTTTTTTATAAAGTTTGCTGATAATTTCGCTGTCAGATAGTCCTAATCTGTATTTAGGTAACATAAAAAATTCTATGATGTAAATTAAAACAATATATTTTATTTTGATGGGACTAATATACTTATTTTTCCACAAAATATCTAACCAGTGGCTGAGTGGATAGCCTAACACTACTGAACACTAGTTGGTTTCGCGTAATGTTCGATCAACAGAGTTTACCCACTTTGTGCCTGACCAATGTGGAAGCTACTGGAGTTTTCTGAATTTTGTTCGCATATCAGTTTCCCGTAAGGAAAAAGTCCTTCTCGGAGGTAACCTCCATGGCAGGTTGCCTTAGTGTTACGTCGCCTTATTCCATCTATTCCATCCCATTCCATTTCATCCTTCCAATAAAGTAAAATAATAATAAAAAATTGAAACTAAAACTATTAAGATTTTCAATGAAAAATATAATTATCTTCTTTTCAAACTAACTCATTTCCATTAAAGAATGAACGGTCTTTAATTTCACTTAAAAGTCAGTCTTTCGTGAAGAAAAGTTACAAACCATTAATAGAAAATCTATTATTTTAGATTTCAAAATGACATTTTGTCTACAGATTTGATTAACAGACATGTAAGACATTAAGACTGATTTTGTAGTTTAATGAAAGGGATGAATGAAAGATGAGGAACGATATTTCCATCTTTCACCCAACCAGACTGACCTTATTGCAATACGAAATAACCAAAATACAGGAGATTAAAGTTAGAAAAATATATAAAATAACGATTTGATCTTTATTAGCCTATTTGTAAATAAGTTTTTGCAATGAATGTAAAAAAGTACAGTACCTAAAATCCCATTATATTATTTTAAAAAAATACAAAATTGCATAAATATTTATATTACACTCTGAACAACGGCCACTAACAGATCATAAAAGTAGCCGTGGTTGTGAGGTAAGCCGAATATAACACAGAACTGAAGCATAACATACCTTAAAAGTAATAATTACTTTTAACATCGTTGAAAAATCACAAAAAAATTGGTAATTATTTACAATCAAGCGTTTTTTCTTAAATTTTTAAGATGTATTTGAGCAGAGGCGGCGTAAGGCGTGGGCGACGTGGGCCACCGCCTACGGCCTCGAGGTCCGAGGGGCCTCGCGCTTCGAAGGTTTATGCATTACATAAAAGCCGTGAACGCAACGAAAAAATTTTACTCTTCATAAAACAATAAATATATTGACATACTAAATTTGTTTTTATTTAGTCTAGCAACATTCGCTGGCGTTGCGTTGCTATCGCGGGGAATCCTTGCCAGCCAGAGCTGGGGATTTCCCATTGTGTTTGTTTACGTTACTTTCACGATTCTCAATGGCTAGAAAGTCAATCAAAGTATCGCAGTAAAGTATCCCGTAAATAGTGGAGTTAAAACTCGAATATTAAATATTAATCCCAGGGCATTTTTTACACTTTGCGGTTGTTATAGCTGGAATCTGCTGTCGGTAGACGCAGCAAATTCTTCTGTGGCAGCAAAAACATTTTTCGGTTTTATTCAGAAAATTTACTTGCTATTTTCAAGTTCCAGCAAACGCTGGGAATTAATCAAAGGCAAATTAAAGCTTACTATGAAGCCTTTATCAGACACAAGGTGAGAAAGCAGAATCGAAGCAGTGAAGGCCGTATTATTGCAACTTGATGTTGAATGCATCGAAAGCTTAAAAAATCAAACGGAACAACCAGACACCTTAGTGATTGTGATTCGGTTTTAAACGAAATGCTCGGTTCAGAATTTATCATATCATTACATGTGTGGTATGAGATATTATCACGTGTTAATATCATAAGCAAATTATGGCAATCTGTACAAGTCCATTTATATAATTAAGGGTTGATTAATTAATTAATTAATTGAAAGAAATTTAAGCATTGCTCTTGAACATTTGCGTACATTTTGTGACTGGATCAAAGAATATCGACAAACTGGATCCGAAAAATGCTTTTCTGACGCTCGACAATTTATTGAGAATAGCAGTTATGAACTGCCAAAAGTATTTAAAAATGAAAGAGTAGCCAAAAAGTAAAGAATGTTCGATTATGAAGACAGCGATCAACCTATACAGTCTCCCAAAAACAGATTTTTTAACACCATGATTGATTCTATAATAAGCAATATGGATTTGAGATTTATGTCTTTAAATCAACATTTTGAAAATTTTGGTTTTCTTTATGATCTAAGCAAGTTAAAAAAATATTCCAAAAGAGCAAGTATTAAAAAACCGTCAAGATTTACACTTACAAGTTAGTCCTGCGAGTGGGTGAGAGCAGTGACTTTCAACCATACAAATTTTATGAAGAATTACAAACAATGATCCCAAATTTACCCAACTTCATTAAAGATGTGAAACAGCTGCTCCAATACATAACAGAAAATAACTTGAAAGAAATTTACCCAAATATTTACATTGCCGTTCGAATTTTGTTAACAATACCGGTAAGTACTGCCTACGCTGAAAGGAGCTTTTCAAAATTAAAACTAATAAAAAATTATTTAAGAAATACAATGGATCGGGAAAGACTTTCAACTTTGGCAGTTTTATCTATTGAATCATATATAGCATCTAAGCTCAATTACGATACAATTATTAAGGAGTTCGGTAAGGCTAAAAGCAGGAAATTTCTGTTTCTTTAATTTTTTAAAAAATTTTTCTTTAATGTTAGTTAAATATATATATAGTTTGCATTTTTAGGAATAAAAATTTGACAATTTCAACTACTTTTTATTTTATAAAATCCGTCTTCTTGCGCCACCAGAGGGCCTCGCAAAATGTACCTTGCCCACATCAAACTTAGGTCTTGCCCCGCCGCTGTATTTGAGAGACATTTTTCTAGATAGAAGTTTTTGAGGACAACTCATATAAAAAGTGCTATAAGCAAAAATATTATAGGACTACTTACCGACTCTACATCATTAGAACCTCCTTGGCTTAGGCTGTTTTTCGTCGCGGAATATCACGTTGGAGAGCGAAAGCGTAGAAAACATCACATGACCTTACTCTGTCAGGTAATTGTTACGAAACGCCGCTCACCTCAGTCACGTGATATCTCTGACGATTTTTTCTGAGAACTTATTCTTTTCGCGAAAGACTTCATTCTTTTGAGCTGTATTTTCGAGGCATCACGTGTTAGGTCAGTGACGTCATACTTCCTAACAGGTGATTCACTTCTTTGAAAACATTAATAACAATAAATTTAAATACAGTATGTTTCTTTTATTAATAGATCTGTATTTGTATAAAATTTAACGGGTAATCTTTATAATTCTATATAGGAATTTTTCTGACAGCTCAAGGATCCACATTTTCGGATTTCGAAGAGTCAGAGGACCACAGTTTGATAAACATTGCATTAGTTACTGTATATCATATAATATTATTTTTAATGTCTACGTATAATGATAAAACGACTTTCTCATTATAATTATGAAAGTTTTTGTTATTTTGTATAATTATGAAAGTTTTTGTTATGATTCATACAGTGCTATAGTAAGTTAAATTTTGAAACGCGATTCACGCGACTGTAAGTAAAAACACTTGTTCGACTAACTTGTAAGATATAGACGTTTCGAGTTTTAAAAATTGATTTTTGAAGATGAGCCAATCTAGACATTTGCGTAATTCTTTTTCACCTCGGAAAAGAAAACGTTTATGCAATTTTACAATTAGGAAAACTTGGCTTAAGTGAATGAATTCAAAACGTGGTTAACTCGCGATAATGATGACATTTGTACTGTACAGCTCGTTGCATTATTTGCCTAACATTGTTTAGTATTAAATATGATGGATTAAACAAACCACTTACAAGGTATGCCGATTGTGAAAAGCATAAAAAAAAGACGTGTCATCTTATTTACCATCCTCTCTCCCGGTCATCACGTCGGCGGCGAAGTCGGTTTCCAAAAGTGGCAACCTATTTATGCCAGAGAAGTGCATCTCAGACTTGTATACATAGACCAGTACATTTGTGAAATTAAATAAAAATATTTATGAAACGGAGAAAACAGAGTTTGAATGCAGTTTCTTTTCGTTTATTATTATTATTGTTATTGTACAAGAAAACACTTTATATGCTAACACCTCTGGTCAACTTTGCCTATGGAACGATCGGGACGCCGCCCTAACGGGAGTCGTTGTCTGTAAAACGGAAACGAGAGATGATTACAACAGCAGCTCCACAATCATATAATCTCATAACCTTGGCATTATATAGGTTTATGGCATGTTTGTTGAAGTTATCGCGGAATAAATATGTTTAACTTTATGAATTTAATGGTACATTTAAAAATAATTAATATTTTAAACATTATGTAGTTAGTTAAAACCCTAATTTTGAAATAAATTATTTTTATCCTTATTAATGAGCGATTAATTAACTTGCGTCGTATGCGATAATAATATTTTTGAAATTCGAAATATTGTTTCTTTAAATTAAATATTTCAGCAGTTATTAAATGTCCCGAATTTTATTTAAACTGTATTAAATTATATCATATCAGCATGGATTATCTCCATATGTAACGGACGATAAATCCAGACAATTATTTGAGTAAAAAAATTAATAAAACAATAAATAAAATAATTTTCTAATTCGGTGAGGTAAAGCTACATACGATACTGAGATAATAAATATTAATATGCTGTATGTGTGCAGTCTATATTTAATTTAATAAAATTCGAATACTGTTCGACTTCGTTTGAGAACGGCTGAAAGTACTGTATAGGTAATAAAATAAAGCTCTTGGTCTGTAGATGATAACGCTGATGAGAGATTTGAGAAAGGTGCAATGTTTGAGCGCAAAAGAGTGGCAAATGTACAATGTTAAATTTATGGATAGGTAAGCATGCTCGCATGCGGTGTTACCATCTCTGTTTTTTCAAAATAAACCAGATATGGGGTCAAAAAAGACTAAGATAAAACAAAATTTTTACAGAAAAACAAGAAATGATTCGAGGAGATAAGGGTAATTAGTTCACGTAGATAGTATTAATGCATAGATTTTGACAAAGGGAAATAAGTAATGAAATTGCACAAGTCTCTCCACCTTTAAGAAAACAAAACTATAGGCCTACAAACAGGATTTAGCAAAATAACAGGCACTTAACGAAAAATATTCTTTATTGGTACTTTCGGAATCTCATAGAAAAAAGTGAGGTGGACGACATTTCTGTTGCTTCATAAAAACAACCGACCATCGATTGTCGAATCTAGTGAGATAGGCGAAGATGCCGTTGCCTCAGAAGAGGGCTGACCATCCGTCGTGGAGTCTGGTGAGAAAGAAGAAGAAACAGTTGCATGAGATAAGGTCTGATCGTATGTCGTGAAATATGGGGAGATAGGCGAGGATTCCGTTGCTTCAGAAAAAGGCTAACCATTCGTCGTGGAGTATGGTGAAAATGAAGAATAATCAGTTGCATGAGAAGAGATCTGATCGTTTCTCGTCGAATCTGACGAGATAGGCGAAGTATCCGTTGCTTTAGAAGAGGTGTGATCGTTTGTCGTGGAATCTGATGAGATAGGCGAAGATTCTGTTGCTTCAGAAGAGGGTTGATCGTTTGTCGTGAAATCTGGTGAGAGAGAAGTAGAATCCGTTGCATGAGAAGAGGTCTGATTGTTTGTCGTGGAATCTGGTGAGATAAGCGAAGAATTCGTTGCTTTAGAAGAGGATTGATCGTTTGTCGTGAAATCTGGTGAGATAGGCGAAGATTCCGTTGCTTCAGAAGAGGGCTGACCATCCGTCGTGGAGTCTGGTGAGAGAGAAGAAGAATCTGTTGCATGAGAAGAGGTCTGATCGTTTGTCGTGGAATCTGGTGAGATAGGCGAAGATTCCGTTGCTTCAGAAGAGGGCTGGCCATCCGTCGTGGAGTCTGGTGAGAGAGAAGAAGAATCTGTTGCATGAGAAGAGGTCTGATCGTTTGTCGTGGAATCTGGTGAGATAGGCGAAGATTCCGTTGCTTCAGAAGAGGGCTGGCCATCCGTCGTGGAGTCTGGTGAGATAGGCGAAGATTCCGTTGCTTCAGAAGAGGGCTGGCCATCCGTCGTGGAGTCTGGTGAGAGAGAAGAAGAATCCGTTTCATGAGAAGAGATCTGATCGTTTGTTGTCGAATCTAGCGAGATAGGCGAAGAATCTGTTGCTTCAGAAGAGGGCTGACCATCCGTCATGGAGTCTGGTGAGAGAGAAGAAGAATCCGTTTCATGGGAAGAAGTGTGATCGTTTGTCGTGGAATCTGGTGAGATAGGCGAAGATTCCGTTGCTTCAGAAGAGGGCTGACCATCCGTCGTGGAGTGTGGTGAGAGAGAAGAAGAATCCGTTGCACGAGAAGAGGTCTGATCGTTTGTTGTCGAATCTGGTGAGATAGGCGAAGATTCTGTTGCTACAGAAGAGGGTTGATCGTTTGTCGTGAAATCTGGTGAAAGAGAAGAATCCGTTGCATGAGAAGAGGGCTGACCATCCGTCGTGGAGCCTGGTGAGAGAGAAGAATCCGTTGCATGAGAAGAGGGCTGACCATCCGCCGTGGAGTCTGGTGAGGGAGAAGAAGAATTCGTTGCATAAGAAGAGGTTTGATCGTTTGTCGTCGAATCTGGTGGGATAGGCGAAGATTTCGTTGCTTGAGAAGAGATCTGACCGTTTGTTGTCGAATCTGGTGAGGTAAACGAAGGATGCGTTTCTTTAGATGTGGACCGACCATCTGTGGTGAATTTGCGGAAAAGTCTTTATTGTTTCTGAACTAAATCTTAAGTGATCTAATAATATGTTAGATGCAGAAATTGTTGTTGTGTGAGATTCAGGTTTATTTATAAACTAAATTGATTCATTGGATAAATTAGATATGTCGCATGTTAAAATTCTACTCTATTACTACTAAGCCAATAGTGTCCTCAACACTGACTTATAACAGCAGTGTTATTTTTACTGTGCACTGCTTTTTATTTTTTATACGTTAATCGTTTTAAAATAAGCAAATTTATTATCGTGTTGCTAACTATTATTAATTATGCGATGTAAGGACTCCTGTAGATGAATTTTATGATTGAACTATATTGTTTGCAAGTATATTGAAGTTTATCGATAGTTCACTTATTACAGTGGTTTTTGTGAGACCAAGTCGTTTACGTAATTTACGTCATTACCAAGTTAGTTGAAACAGAGTAGTATAGTGGTTGCAAAAATCGAAAATTCACGAAACTGATGAACCAGTTTTCAACATTTGTTTTAGGAAAACCGTTCTTTTAATTCACTATGCCAAACCAGTTTCAAATTTATTTTGAATTCAGTACAATTAATGTTTTCTTATTGCATTTCATTAAGATTAATAAAGTAGTAGAGTAAATATTAGCTAAAATTCACGAATATGACTGTATTATGCATTATTCTCGTCTAAAAGAGGTCAGTGTTTTTCAATATTGGTAAACGTTAGAGGTCAAGTATTTACAATATAACGTTCAAAAACTGTCATTTTAAAATTAATTTGCGTTAGATATTATGTTGATTTTAATTTTAAAATTTAAATATGAGTAATGCGTAGCGTTATTATAAAAAAGGAAGGATACTAGTCAAAAATGGCTACTATACATAACAATACCGTCATAATAAACCGATTTCTTTGTCTGTTCAAAATCGGTTTTCATTTTTTTTTTATAAAACCGTGGTTTATCGAAAACCAGTTAATTGGCTTTGTTGCTAGCACTAGTTAAAATGCAACTTAATATCTATTTTTATTTTTTAATTTTCTAAAATGTTTTTCGAAAACTATCCACATTTGTTACACAATTTAATAGGAAACTATTATCAGATATCGCTTCGAAGGTTTAGGGATAGTTTAAACATTTACAATTGAACTACAGTACTGAAGAGATTCTTAAAAGACATGAAAGCACAATACATGGCCCTCAGGCTGCTTGTGTACCTCCAAAGAATTTCGGTCAAAAAATGTCGAGTATGTAAAAGAAAGTAAAGATGTAATGACAACATTTATGGGATTTCATGATAAATAAAATGTACCGTAATTACTTGATATTAATTAAAAATTAAAACTTTCCTTTTATAACATGGTTCATTTACAAAATAATTTCATTGTTAATTATATATACCAGTGGCGTAGCGTGAGTGTCAGCCGCTCGGGGCGGAGGAAAATTTCGTCCCCCCTTATTTAAGTATCTCAATTTAAAAGAGTAAAATTCAGTTTCGTCACAGAATAAGTAATGAAAAATTCCGTGCTAGTGTTGCCACTTTTTTAAAATCGCTGACCCGGACGGCAGGTGAGGTTTGTTCGAACAGAAGTTCCTGACGCATACGTATGTCATTTTGCAACGCGAAGAATAATTTGCAGTGCATGCTGGTTCTAACTTAGTTACAGTTAGCGACTAGGGAGACTTGGATAGGAGTAACGTAAGTGACCTAGCTCTATTGGATATTGAAGGTGTATATATGTACGAATAAATCGCACAAGCAAAAAAAAAAGGTCAACAGGTTGCTCACGATATCCCCGGGTGAAATTAACAGTTCACACGGTGAGTCGATTCCCGGAATGTCCGGATGTTATTCCGTGCTCATTTCAATCGGTCCGAATCGTAGGTGCACGAAAATATGAAATAAAATGGTTCAAATTCTTACAAGATATTATTATTATTTATTGTGAAATTTTGCCTTCCCCTAAAACGTAATTTTGCGACCCCCTAAAAAGTGCCGCCCGGGGCGGGGCGCCCCTGCCGCCCCCACTACGCTACACTACTGATATATACTTTTACCAAGAAAGTGAGCCGCTAAATCTGCGGCCTAAAGAATTTAGCCTGTTTTAATTTTGGCCCGTACTTAACCGCCAAGTTGTGAGGAATTGGTCTAAAGATGTATTTTTAAAACATTCAAATTTATCAGAGGAATATGTTCGATTTAAAACAAAGTTTGTTAAAAAAAATTACAGGAATTGGTCAAAATGTCAAAATGTACTAGAATATATGTTAGGCTCAAAGAACGAAAACGCTCATTGAGCAAAAAAACGTCCACAACGCGTTGTGGTCTCTTTAAATCATTCACAACGCAATATTCGTGTTGTGGCACTTGTAAAAACATCCACAACGCGTTGTGAATAACTCAAAAAGACCATAAAACGGAATTCGCATCGTTGCTTTCTTGATATTTGACCACTATGCATTGCGGTGATTAAGAAAAGCTATAACGCGTTCTGAACATTAGCTGATGCAATTACTCAATGAATCTGTGAGTATTAAGTTAAAAGAGAGAAACTTTTATTGTAGAGTCTATTTTGAGATGAATAGATTGACAAATTACATACTTCTGACTACGTAGTGTCATCTTTTCTTTTAAACTGAAAAAACTGTTCAATAAATCAACAGTATTTTTTCCATTTTACTAACTTTCCTTCAATTGCTATTTCTAAATCATAGTCAGACTTTTTTTCTTGCAGCAACGAATAAAGTAACTGCGCGATAACTAAATATTGAACATTAAATGAGAAATATTTTAAAGAAAAATATTGATGACCGGATGGCCGAAGTGATTAAAGAGTGATTCTATCGCTCTGGAGGACCCGGATCGAAACTGGGTGAGCAATTCCCCAGGAATTATGTGGGGGATCTGCCCCGTATAGGATCCTACCAGTGAATGAATAGATTAAACCATTGAACATTGATAAATAGTCAGGGATTCGCGCCTGACAAATATTGCGAGTTGGAATATAAAATGCAACTCGAAAAGTCACGGTAATAGTCAGTGGCGTCCCGTTTCCTTGTATTTTCTCAAACATATTGCGCGATTATTTTCATATTTTAACGTACTTTGAATTAATTAAAATTAATATTTTATTATAACCGCATTATGTATGTTATTAAATTTCTATACTACATGTGGATAAAGTGATAAGATTGCTATTGTATATTCGAATATCAGTGGCGGAATGGAAATGCTGTATTGTCGAATACTGGACAGCTTCCAAGCAGCCAGATTATACTCATTCGCGCATGCGCTTTACAGAGCACCAACCTCACTCGGTTTAGCTGATGGAAGCTACACACCAAAATATCGTATAAAGACGGGTGTCCAACCCGCGGCCCGCGGGCCGCATGCGCCCCAAGGCAAGTTTCAATGCGGCCCAATAAACGTGTAAACAAAACCGACAAAATGTTTTAATTTTTTTATTATTTATTTATTTCAATTGCATAAACTCAAAGAAGAAGTTTCACAAAGCCGTAAACCTTTATTCATATTTTATTTTTGAGTGGAAAGGAAATATTTTCAAATACTTGGAGATGTGTGAATGAGGAAGGATTATTAAATAAAGCTGGAGTTGTAACTCAAAGGATTATAGACACAAATTTGGGAAAAGGAGGGAAAGATGAGAAAGGACAAAAGATGTAGTAGTGAGAAAGGTTAAATAGATCTTCTGTTAAGCAAATATAGACCCTTAATTTTCCAACCTTTCTCACTTTTTTTATCTTTTGTCCTTTCTCTCCTTTCCCTGCACTTGGGTCTATAATCCTTTGATTCACAATTACAGCTTTATTTAGTATTTTTTCCAACGTTGCAAGATTTGACTACATTGCGCCAAATGTGTCTACTTTTTTTGTTTGACGAAAAAATATCATTTGGCGCTTTGGCTACTTTTTGGGCTACATATTATTTATAATTATATTAGTTGAATAAAAATGTGCTTTAAAATAGTGTTTCGTCGCTTTTTATTAATTAGAGACCCAAATATAACAAATATTTGTGCTTTTCAAATAAATTTCCGTTTGTCTCTTTTATAATAAATGAATTTATCTATTTCTAAGTAAAAATTGAAAGTGTCTGTAGAAGTAATTTTTAAAATATCCTTTTTCTTGGTAAAGTTTTAATACTTAATATTATAATCTAGACATGTTAATTTTTAAATATACTTGTATATTGGGCCACAAGTATATATATGTACTTGTGGCCCAAAATTCCTCGACTTCTTACAATGCGGCCCAGAGAAACAAAAAGATTGGACACCCCTGGTATAAAGCTTCCAATGATTCTATGCAGCACCGGTTCTGGGCTGTTAGCCGCCTGCCTGCTAGATATTTGGCCGCCCTCGCCCCATTATGTGAATCACGAGTAGATTTATAACTTAACCTAACCGATAGGAGTTTACTAGCATATTTTTATTATAGTTCTGTATAGTTGACAGGAGTTTTAAAAAATCCATTAAAATATTTGATATATTTATTCTGCTTTTATTCTGCTCTCCCATCTTGTATTACTTACGGATTTCAATGTTAAACCCGTAATATTTCGATTTCATATGCCCCATCTATAAGGGGATTTAGAAAAAAAAACATGTACAATATTAAAAAATTAACTGTTACTTTGGCAGCATCATTTACAACTAAATTTAATGAATAAGATGCACAAGGTACAAAAAAAGCTCTAGAATTTATTTTCCTTAGATCAGCGGTTCCCAACCATTTTTCATTAGCGTATCCCCGTGGCATTTCCAACTTCCCAACGAGCAACGCATGCGCAAATCTCGCACTGCCTGTTTGTAGAGAGTGTCGCCATTTTTAATTTTATTTTGACTCGGTTCTCGATCCCTGAGTACCAACAAGTCTGGTTTTTTTATGCGCGCATGATTTGGGCACCTAATACTTTGTGCCAAATTGCAACTTTTGACATATACTTCTTCATACCTCTAAGCTGGTAACACGGCAGCAGTACGATTTTATAAACAAGACACAGTCTTGTCAATTAAAAAATCAATAAAAATACTGAATAAATAATGAAAAAATTTACAGCTTGTAGAGAAAATCTGGCGAAACTAGCTGTCTTTTTCCTTGCTAACAATAAAACTACTTTTTATAAACAAAAGAATACTTTTTTCAAACAACACATGGTTGTTTGAAAAACGTTATTGTTGAAAGATAATAACAATAATGGTAACACACCCCACCATCAAAAGTCCATAGCATAATCACTAATCACACATAATGGTATCCCCACTACCATTGACCGACAGCGCAACATTTATTGATCTGTTGCATTGTACAATCAGCAGCATAAGTTTTTATTTCTATTTTTGCATTTTGAAATGTATAATAAAGTTTGTGATTGTTGCAAGAAACATTTTTTACCTAACAATTTTTTAATACCATTAATTTGTGATACATAATATATTATTTTTTCTGCCACAATAACTAACTTTTTTCTGTACCCATAAACAACCTATCTCGTACCCCGGGTTGGGAATCGCTGCCTTATATTTACGACTAGCTGTTACCCGCGGCTAGGGTTTGTGGCTGATTACAAAAAAAAAACCCTAGATGCGGATTCAGTAGACATCTGGTAGTCAGACCGGTTAGTACAGTAACAATATACTGTAATTATAACAAAAAGAAATCGTAACAAAAATTTTGTTATTTTAAAAAATTTTCTGATTTCATAAATAGATTTTATTATTTATTCTTGTTTATTTGTCTAGTTTTATTTATTCTAATATTCATAAGTTTGTTTTAATGTTTTACACTTTTTAAAATTATTTCGTGTGTCGAGTTCCAAATTTCAATTGATCTGAATAAAATGGATTTTTAAAACTCCTCTCTGTAGACACCAAGAAGGCCCTTTTTAACAAGTCCATTATGAACAAAAGATTGATAAGCACTTACCTGTTGAAATATAATTTATTGCTATTGAAGTGTGATTTTCAGTTGGTGAAATTGTCGATGTTAAAGTAGAATCTGGAGTAGGACCAAGAGTAATATCAAATGATTTGGACTTATCTGAAAAATTAATTAAATTTAATTGTGTATAAATTTTTAAAAGACATAATGGTAACTTACAGTTTTCCAATCTTTTATCCAATACGATGGTTGTTATCATCAGTGCAAAAGTCAAACAAAAAAGTATCGATGATACAATAATTAATTTTTGTTCTAAACTTGTCCTTCTTCGCCAATAGCTTACCTTGAAACTTTTAAAATAAATACACAAATTATCAGAAACATTATTTCTTTTTAAATATGCAAATTCCCATAAGATAATATTTAGATTAATATATTTTAAACATATAAGTTCAAATATAACCTATGCTAATTTGCAGACAAATGAATATTGCTTATTAATTAAGCAATAATTTTGTCTAGTTACGTTATTAGGAAACATTAAATGGAGCATTTGATGTTAAATATTAGCATTTGAATTTATTTCCCGTCTATTTTATAACACTGAAATTTAAGCGGTTTTGGTAGATAAGATTATAACATGAATGACTGAGGAATTTCTATTAATCTCTAGTCCAATGGTTTCCAAACTTATGCCCATGGACCGCTTCTCATGAACACTGACCATGAACCCCAAGTGAAATAACTACACAACTACATAGTAGCGAAATTATAAATTTAACTTTGATGTGTTGAATGGTGAATAGTGACATAAAAATAAAATTAAATATCAAAATGTTTTAATTATAAGTAATATTTATTGAAATTACTAGCTAAAGCTAGCCCATTCTTGAAAAAGGGTATAATATAGTGAAAACAAAAAGAATGTATAATTTATTTCTAATTGGGTTATGAAGTACATCACAAAAATATAAAATTAATAAGTTTTTTATTTTATCTATTGAATTTTCATAGAAAAACATATTTTTGATGAAAATAAATAAATAATTTATATATTCTTAGTCATTAAATAGTTTTAATAGTTAGAATATAAAATGATTCATATATTAAAAACTATAGAGATGATTATAAAATAAAATAAGCGATAAAATTGTATAAAATGAACTATATATTTTAATTAAAAAGTACTTTGTTCTATATTTAAGTTTATTGTAGTTAAAATTAAAAATTACATTTATAACATGAAAATATTATTGAAATTGAATAGATGAAATAAAATTAAATTTATAACATAAAAATAACTATTAAGTACTTAACCCTGGGTTAGTGCAGTGGGGCGTTTCGCCACCCCCAACGTTTTGAAAGTTGCACTATTCATAGATTTCGCAAGAAATATTTGTGTCCTCTTCAGTAGCTTCATGATTTTATGTATAGAGCATGCTCAGAAATTACTAGGATGCTGCAGAAATTCCAGTAAGAAAAAAACAACAGTTCTCAGTGGGGTGTCGAAACACCCCACAGTATTAATTACGTTTTTTTTTAAATTTTACAAATATTTATTTAGTTTTTTTATTTTTAAAATAACTATAATGTGACCACATTTATTATTTATAATATAGATATATTATTTTTATTCACATTGATTATTATAAGTTTATTTTAATTCAAAATGGCTGACTTTCATAAACACACTGAGAAAATACCAAACATAGCAAGCTGCTTGTCATTTGCATTGAGTGCCAAAGTACAATGTCAGCTATTGAATCAGAGTGACAAAAATGCTTAAAAAACAATTTAGATTTTTACTATTGGTTTAATAATAAGATCTAATGTAATGAGTTTTGATAAATGTTGTTTTTTATTTTCATGGATTTATGTACTAATATAATATGTAATCATACCTGAATATAATCATATGTATAATGACACATGCCTTTACCAAATAAATGAGTAAATCTTTATGAATTTTTACTTACATGGTTTATGGACCCAAAAAAATGTTGGGGTGGACAAACGCCCCACTGCACTAATGCCGAAAAAAAACTCAGTGCACTAACGCAGGGTTAATCGATGTGTAAATTTTAAGTAAAAGACGATTAACAAACAAGTCGTTTTCTATTTTTAATATCGTTTTTGATAACATAAAAATTTTTAATTAACAATTTTTTTGAATAAATAACCTGAGATTTGACGATAAAATAATAATAAAAAAATTGCCATTCGTACTGGGGCATTGAGAACAACTAGTCTAAAAGAAGATTAATTGTCAAATTTTAATAAGAAATAATTATAACATATCTTAATACAGTATATAAAAATGAAAATTTAGTGTAATTTTATTGAAACATTACAAGAAATACATGGAAGGAAATCAAAAGGAATATAAAGGAATTGATTTTTATAATTGATATAAGCACAGTGATTTTTATAGGATTGCTTTGGATTGCTGTTGAGTTGCGTTAATGGATATAATGAAATCATACAATACACAGAAATATTTTATTACCTTATCTAAATTTTAATGTTTGTTTTTAGTAATACAGTATATTAATCAATTAAATTTTTATGTGTTTACTGTTATTGGAATCATTATAAAAAGCATTTATATATTAAAGTAAATAAATAAGTATATAAATATATTTATTTACTTTAATATATAAACGCTTTTTATGTAGGCTATCTAATAACCTTAAGCGCGCAATAAAAACTTAATCAATTAATATATAGTGGGTGATCGGTTAACGAACATAATCCGTTCCAAGACTGTTCGCTATCCGAATTGTTCGTTAACCGATTATCGATTTACCATAGGTTTTTACGGGAATTTGATTAATTAGTTCCGGTGACTCCCCCAAAATAAAAAAATATATACTGTCTTACTACGTTTATTTATATGTAATAATAAAAATACATACATACACAGTCTTGCATTTTTATTAGTCATGTTTTTTCTGTTTGTGGGGTTAAAGAATCTGTCCAATGTCGATTGCTTTTCTCTCTTCTTCAGGATTTTTCAGAAGTAATTAATAGCATTGTAATTGTAGAGATCCCAACGCTGGTTTGGATGTCATTCTAAGACTGTCGTTCTGACATCCTCCCACTTCTTCGAAAGATCCTTAATAGCAGATATCGGCATTAATCCTCTTTTTTTCAGAAGAAAACATATGCCATAGTGCCCAGCAATATCAGACATCTTCTGCCCACTCTCTACCTTTGCTATTATACTCCCACCTTTCGAAAATTAAAACCGACGCAAAACTTAACGAGTGTCCGCCCGACAGTCTCGCGAATACCACAAAAGAATTGTTTCTGTCAGAAAAATAAAAGGCTGAAATTACAAGGAAAAGTTTCAAAGTTCGGAGGAATACTATTCGATCAGTATATACCGGGTTGAGTGTCGATGTCGACGTCACCCGCGCTCTGAAAAGTTCCGAATTGTTGCCTGAAGACAAGGGAAGATCAATCGGTATTCACTATTTTACGTCGCTTCTTCTTGCGTTTGTTCTGTGAGGTGTTCGTTACCCGAACATGTGTTCGGGTAACGAACATGTATTCCTGAACATATGAATCTTTCGCGAAAGTGTTCGTTTCGCGAAAGATAACCCGTTTCGCGGTGAAAGTTTCGCGAAATCATAACCCGAACATAAAAATCTTTCTCGAAAGTGTTCGTTATTCGATTTGTTCGTTAACCGAACTGTTCATTAACCGATCACCCACTGTATTACTAAAAACAAACATTAAAATTTAGATAAGGTAATAAAATATTTTTATTTACTGTAAGATTTCATTGTATCGATTAATAGAAGACCCAAAGCAATCCTATGAAAATCACTGTGCTCATATCAATTATAATAATCAATCTGTATAATATACAGGATTGTTAAAAATTAAGTTCCTCTACTTACAGATTTTTATAGCGCGTTTTAAGACTTCAAACGAAATAAATAAAAGTTACAGAGCAGGTATTTCAAACGATGCGCAGCCGTTTAATGAAAAAAATTTAGTACAAAAATTGCCGATAGGTGACGCTGTAGCAATATAAGTCACTTGAACAGCTTTACAAATGTTATATGTGGCCTCTATGGTTGTCAACAAAGTTTTCCATTCCCAAAATGTTATTTTTTTTTTAATCGAAGAACGCAAGAAATCCATTGGAATTGATAAAACGTGACATCAAATGCTGTTCTTCAGCTGTGACATCTTCAGTTTTCAGGTTGTGACTTTTTTCACGATACACGATGGTTGTTTAAAAATAACCAGAAGTTCAGGTGTATTGTGAAAGATGTCACTGCTGAAGGACAGCATTAGACATCATGTTTTAGTAATTCCAGTAGTCTTCTTGCATTCTGTGATAGAAAGTGTCGTTTTGGAATGGGAAACTTTGTTGACAACGATGGAGGCCACATTTAACATTTGTAATTGTGTTCGGATCCTATCGATGTTTCAAAAACATTATTACTACCGATATTCCAATTTTATATTGTAGTTTTTACATGAAAATATTTATCGTTTATCATTATGTTTTAAAATTAGTTTTAAAATTTTTTAATATTGTTATCTTTTAGTAAAGTGCTATCTATTTTTTCTAAGTTTAACCGTTAGACGTCTAGTTCTCGGTATTGTCAAAGAAAACAATATTTCTGTTATCTTTAAATTGTACAATGCCCATCAGAAAAAAAATTAATACAGTATTTGGAAATATTTTCAAATTGATATGAAAGGCAAACAACTTGTAAAATGTATTTTATGTTAAAAAATAATGTACAAAACATCAAGAAACACATCAAATTTAAGGAATCATATAAAACGTTTACATCCTGTTAAATTTAAAAAATTTTAATAGCAATAATTACGACTCGGTTTTAATATCTAAGGCTGTGTACACACTAGGTGTTTTTAAACGCGCGTTCGACGAGCGTTTAGCGGAGCGTGCGCACTGGCTCGGTTTGGAAATGGATGTGGAAGTGATTGCTTGTGTGTGGCTCCTCTATCGTCGCTATAAAAGACGACGGCAGAGGCAAAGAGAATTTTGGGTGCACCCAATATTACGAGATAGACTGACGCATGAAATGTTTGCGACGTTGTATCCAAAACTAAGACAAAATAAATTCAAGTTTTTTAATTCTTTTAAAATATCTATAAAATCCTTTGACGATGGTTGGTCTCTTTTAGATTTCATCAATAAATAGATCAGTATCGAAATGATCGTTCTCCATTTCAGCACATATATCTCAAAGCGTTCGGCTGACGCCCGCAAAACGCGCGATCGAATGTACAGTAACATGGCAGCACATATATCTCAAAGCGCTAGGCTAACGCCCGCAAAACGCCGTTTTAACAAAAATCTATA